AGCATTCTTACTTTACAGCATTTTTTCACACCTGCCTAAAACTTTTGCACAGTATTGTACATTTCACATGACTGTTACTTATAGAGAGAGAATGGTGAAGTTTTCACATTAACTCTTCTATTAGCAAATATGTGAATTACAAAAAAGGAATTGCATGCATAAGTTAGGAGAGACAGTTTAGCAACAAATCTTTTAAACCATCAATTTACCAGACTAACAGGGGAGATAGGGTATCAGTTTTAGCAGAATGTCAGTTAAACTAAATGGGATTTTATGCATGGATGTTTTACATATTTATGCATGCATAAATGACAAGTGACACTTTACATTTGCACAGAGGCATTTGCTACATGGGCAGATTTTGTCTGTTGCATCCAAAGCTCAATAAAACTGAAGTCTGTTAAATCAAGGGTTTATTGTTATAGAGGGATAAATGTGGATTGAACACCAAAAGAATGTCATCAGGAAACAGCAGCAAATCACGCTCTCCGGATGAATGCATGCATGCCATACATGAGGTTGCAAGTATGTTTTTGATGTCTTTTCATGTTATACTTCTAGGTGATTTTTTTTTTTTTTGGCCCTCTTAACCTGTGTTATATATAAACAGCTGAAAAAAAGTAAAACTTTATGTTACATATACAAAAGCAGATGATTGGCCATCTGCTGTTCCAGAAGTTACAGGTGGTCAACTTTTGATTTTCTTTATCTAGGTAAACCAGTCATGATTGTAACTGAATACATGGAAAATGGATCCTTGGATACATTTTTAAAGGTAAGCTTCAAATGTACAGTATATGCATGTTGAGTACTAATCTCCCCTTTTATAAAGAAGTTTTTCCTGGAGAAAAAGAAATGTGGTTTTCTTTTAGAAATCATAAACTGAAGTCCCCTTCAGGTTAATCTCAACTGCTACTGATTTCATGGATTTCATGCAGTTTTCTTGACAACAGAGTAGAACTAGTTTAACATTGCTTGTCATGTTTTTGATTTTCCCAATGATAGCCTTGGCATTTGGTATTTTACATTCAGTGTTGCCTCCTATACAGTATGTTGACATGCATAAGGGAATAAACTGAAGCACTGTAATATGTTTGTGAGTACATGATATGAACATTAAGCAATCTGTAGAAGTTGTTCAGTTGGAGTTAATTATGCCCTTTTCCATCAATAATTTTCTTGAGTTGCAGTCTCACTTTTCAAGCCAGTTGTTGACAATGCTGGTTCAAAATCTGGATCCTGGTTGTGAAGTGCCAGTGGTAAGAGATCTCCAGAGGAGTTGCTTAATTCAACAAAAACAGTCTTGAGCAGTGTTAAAGTCAAACACATTTATCATGGAATACAACAGGACAGAATTTTGTCATTTACATATTTACTTCAAAAGTCCTTTTGGTTGTTTATAGTAAAGTGATATATCCCATGTTTGAACACGGCATTGGAAAAAACATTTGTAATTCTTTCTTAAATATTTTAATTGTTTCTCAATGTCAGCATCTTGAACTGAGCTGGATGTTAGTGGAGTTATTTCAGCCTAGCATAATGTGTTCTGAACCACTGGTGCCAGTTGGTGCTTGGGCTACTGTTTTCTGTGCCAACTAGTTTTGGGATATCTTCTTCCCACACTCTAAATAAGATGAAAGAACAAAAATAATTGTGAAGAGACTAGTCCTCTTTATCAAGGGCAGTTTACAGTAAATACTTCACTGTGGTTCACACACACTTCCTATTCTGTTCTTCTTTTAAAAATATCAAGTATGACTTTTGAGGTTTGCGTACAGTTCTTCCCGTGCTTGCTTTTCCTTTTTAGTATTTTTCAAACATAGCAAATGTAGCTTGATGTGATACTTCACAGATGTTTGTCTCAATAAATTCTGTCACTACTATTAAAATTGCCATTCCTGATTCTGCTTCATCAACATCCGTTGTGTTTTTCTCTGGTTTTTTTCCCTCCCATAATTACAGTGCTTCTCCTTCTATATTTTTTTCTGCTAATGAGTAATAATGTTTATTATTTTCTTTTGCCATTTTCGTCTTCCACTTTTTTGGAGATATTTGTGCTGCATTTAACTAACAGTTGATCAAAGTTTGTTATTAAAATCATCTGTGTTTTTATATTCACTCTATATTTCAGTGAAATGGAATGAAATGTATAAGCAAAAAAAAAAAATCTATGCAATTTGGACCTGCCCCAAATCAGCAAGGACCCACTTTACTAATACAAATGCCTGGATCAAAGAGTTGTGGTGTTAAAAGAACAAGAGCAACTGAGAACACTTCTATATGATGAGTCTCTGCCAGTGAAAAGCAGCTCTATAATTCTTCCAAAGATGTCAGTTGCACATGGAGATCTAAACTGCTTTGTTCTCCTAATCCAACAGTGATAAACTGAAACCACTATGAAGTTAGATTTGTGTGTTTGTTTTTGTGCTGTGGATCTGTTTCCCCATTAGAGGAATTCTTAACTCATCTTAACTTCAGGCCTTGTAAGAGAAATATTGATTTAACACCCTCCCTCAGTACCCCAGACAAAGTACAGGGATCGGTTCCCCCATTTTCTTTAACAGAGGACAAACTAGGGTACCAAACTCCAGGCTACTGGATTTATTTCTTTTCTTTCTCATTTGAGTGGAGTGGGAGTCAGGAAATTTGTCATATTGCAGGATTTGCAACAATCTGGGGTAGGACAGTGGTTTTTGCTGTTTGTTCAGTGTTTCAAATTGACAGAAGTTAAAATAATTGTGATGGACTTCTCAAGTCCTGGAAAAAAAATCTACAAAAGTTTGTGAAACATGACAAGTTCAGAATATCTTGATGTTCTTCCTTTTTCAGGGAAATGAGTAGCTGCTTCCCTACTGCATCAACAGTTTGAAAGTAATCAATCGAATCCCCACCGTAAAGAACTTCAGAAATAAATGGGGTGCTGAAGTAAATGTATCCAGTTGCCAAGATTTTTTTAACCTAAAACCCCTATTTCCTCTTCAATAAATCTGATTAGATTCTGTGAGAATCTGGCTTTCTTTGTGGTAAATGGCTGTGAAAAGCTTGATAGCAATCATGGATTGCCTTAAGTTGCTTCTAAAGGTTTGGAATATGATATGAAAATATCTTGTGATATTTCCAGCATTTACTTTTTCTCTAGCGGAATCAAGGTTTAGTCAGTTGCTTGACATTTCACTTCTTTAATTTTGTAATTTTGTACTTTTTACAGAAGAATGATGGGCACTTCACTGTAATTCAGCTGGTTGGTATGCTCCGAGGTATAGCATCTGGGATGAAGTATTTGTCTGACATGGGATATGTACATAGAGACTTGGCTGCCAGAAATATCCTAATCAACAGTAATTTAGTATGTAAAGTGTCAGACTTTGGACTTTCTCGAATTCTTGAAGATGATCCTGAAGCTGCTTACACAACAAGAGTAAGTTGCATGAACAACATCTATGTATTTACTGCAGAACCAAAAAACCTAATTTGGGACATTTCTTCAGGCAACTTGCATAGATTGTGCTATTACTCTAAAGTTTGGAGAATGGTCTTGAACCTGAGCTACCAACAGCCAGTTTTCAAAGCCTCTCTCAGCTTTGTAGAACAGAGGTGTCCTCTAGGATGAATATAGCAAAAATATAGTCACAGATCAGCAAAAACATAACAGGTTTTACAAAACCCTGACATCAAGTAAAGCTCCATAGTGTGAGCAATCTGCATTACTGAGCACCCATGTACCTTGTATGCAAGGACCATTGTACCTTGCCTCTCTTTCTATCCTGTCTTCTGACAACACATTATCCACATATGTGGTCCTATAGATCTTTCTTTATGTTGTATACTGTCTCTTCTCATGCACACACAAATTGGCTGCTCTCTATGAAGGAGATTAATTAAGGTCTAATTCTAACAATTTCTATTTCAGGGTAAAAATTCCCAGTTAGAATAGGATTGAATTGTCTCTTCAAGGAACAATGGGGTGATGTCACAGTACTGTGTCTGACACCATGTCATCAATGAATATCAGTAAATAAAATCCCAGCTATGCCTCTATCTTATGCTATCACCGAGAGCAACCATTTTTTAACATTTTCCTATTTTTACATATAATGCTTATTAAAGAATTGTTGAATTAAGTGCCAATATTTCTTTTTAAGACTGTGAGCATACAGATAATAGTTATGGGCTTGCCCTTTGCCATCTCCTTTTTTCCTTAAAATTTGAATTCAGAATTTGTATGTCATGAAGGATTTTGTTTGCATGTCCACCATACAGCCTTGACCTCAAAACTGTGATATGAGGTGTTTTATGTATACAACTCTGAAGTAAGCGGCTGACTTAAAGCTGTGCTGACTGCTTCTTGTTCGTATTTTCCTTCACCAGCTATGATGACCTAATTGAGATGTGAATTCCATTGTATCTTGATATACAAATTAAATTCAAATAGGCCTTTAGGACTAGCAATTAATAATCTATATGAAGGTATGTAAAGGATGTTTTATTTTAATTTCTATAGCCGCCCAGAGTCATGTGGTTATGATGGGTGGGTATAGAAATTAAAACAAACAAACAAATGTGATAATGTAGAAAGAGCCCCTCAGAACATTAGAAATTGTTTCCCTACCCATTCTCACTAGAAAATCCTTGACACACAGAAAAAACATGGTTGCAATTTTTTTTCCCCCCTAGGGAGGGAAAATCCCAATCCGATGGACAGCTCCTGAAGCTATAGCCTTCCGCAAATTTACTTCTGCCAGTGATGTCTGGAGCTACGGGATTGTGATGTGGGAAGTAGTTTCCTATGGTGAGAGACCTTACTGGGAGATGACCAATCAAGATGTAAGTACTTCCTTTTCCTTCTCTGTGTGAAAACTTGTTAGTCATCAAAGCAGGATGCCATATATATTCATTATTTTCTATTTTTAATCTTAAAGCCATAAATGTACAGTTACAGGTAAATCTCCAAAGAATCCATTCTGAAAATAATGTGGAATCTGCAGATGAGTGAAGATGGGAAGAGAAGGAAGAACTTAGCGGGTAAATAGTTAAGGTGCCCATATAAGGCACAGCAGCTGCTCTTGTGCTTTATTGCAATCTGTAATTCTGAGTGGTAAACATGAGATGCAGATTAAGCTACTATGAGACTCTGGGCTACCAAACAAAATGTGACCAAGACGCACAGAAGCATCAGTTGTCAGAATCAAATAATAATCCAGGTAGCCAAGCCTTAGCAGTACAGAACTTGGAGTAGCTCTCAGGGCTGGCATCACTGCTTGAATCCGTGGGTAACTATCTGTGATGCACTGCTGATGTCTCCCTGTAGAAAACTAAAGATCTGCCCCAGCACTCTAAGCAGGCTTGGATAGCTGGTTCTACTATTTGATATTTCTAATACTTTCCTGAAATTGAAATTGAAAAAGTGCTTGGAGCAGTACCTAGTGTTTTTGAGCAGTTTCCATTTATGCCCCATTTTATTTTTCCTGGGAGTAAGACATGTGGAAGTAGAATGTTTGTGTTTGGTTTTTCTTTCAAGTCTGAACCCTTTGCTTTTAGAATTGAGTTGTTGTCAGATCCTGGCCGTCTTTGTCTGGCTCGTCCTTGACAATGCATTTATTTCAGTTGCAACTGGGACTATCTTGAGGTCCATAAATAGAGACCACGAGGGAGGTGTTCACTCATGCATATCTCTATAGGGGTTTACTTTTTAATTCACTTAGGGTAGTTTAGAGATAAGATGCATGCAGTGATAGCACTGATTTGAGTACATATTTTAGAAAATCACAAGTTTACCACACGAGATATCAATATGCAAGAAATTACAAATATCTGTGAAGATTTCACACATCCCAGCTAGCCCAGCAGCTGTGTTTTAAAAAAAAAACACTCCCACTTTCTTTTTTTAATCTCTTTTGTTGCCAAGCCTTTCATTTCAGTAGCACAAACACAATTTCCAATAAAGTAAAACAACAAACCCAAGACGGATTCCCTTGGAAGAAACACTGTCATTCCATGAATAGTACTTAATTCAAGGTCCATCAGTATTATTTTTAGGGATGAAGGGCTGTCGTGGAATGAATACATTTTTATTACTCAGTCCAGAAACATTGACAGACTCCCACAGCTTAATCCTCAAGGGCTACGCATATTGCTAACCACTGAGATTTTTCTGCGGAAAGAGAGCAAGGTTTGATAGTGTTGAGCTGTCTGGATTTACATGAATGAGTCTTAGGACAATATATACACTCTCTATAACTGTGGATTAGTTTTGTCATTATTTTGTACCCTAACCAATAACTGCATGGTTCCTTATCACCTCCCTCTGAATATATATTAACAAATGGGCTAGTACAAATTAGTGATAGTTACTAAGTCCAGGTTTAGTCATTATTCTGGGTTAATTACTAATGAGTAAAAGGGTTGGATCTTTAGGGGTGCCAGTTAAGGTTCACATTGCCTGGGATGACAAGTAACTGAGCCTCCCATTTAAAATTATACCCTTTTGATATAATTTTAAGTTAATTGGTGTTCTTAAGGTACACTACATGTCTGATCTTGATCACTTTTGAACAGATACCCAAATAGACAATTTCACTTTTATTTTTCCAAAAGCATTTAAAACAACCAATGGCCTCTACTGTAATAAGCTAAAATACTTCTCCTTGAAATAATTGGATATTTTCCCCTGCCCACACTACTTTCTACATTAACAGCTCTATTATTTCTCAGCCCCTGCATGCCCAGACCATAGCAGAACATCATATGCATAGAAGGAACTATATAAATTATCAACATCATTTTTTACTCTTTCTCCCCCCATTCCCAGACAATCATGTAGAATCATAGGGTTGGAAGGGACCTTGGAGGTCTTGTAGTCCAACTCACTGCCCAGGGTAGAAATCCTCAGACAATCCCAGACAACTGGCTCTCCAAGCTTTGTTTGAAAACATCCAGAGATGGAGCAGCCAGGACTCCAGAAGGTAGGCTATTCCTCTACTTAATAGCTCTAATTGTCAGGAAATTCCTCCTTATTTCAGATTTGAATCTCTCTCTATAAAGCCTCCACCCATGGTTCTTGTCCTATCCATGGGCACTGTGGAGAATAAATCAACACCCTTTAAGTATTGGAAGATTCCTATCATGTCTCCCCTTTTTTTCTTCTTTAGGATAAATGTGCCCATCTCTTTTAACCATTCTTCATATGATTTAGCTCCCAAACCCCTCACCATCTTTTTCACTCATCTCTGCACTCTTTCCAGTTCCTTAGCATCTTATTTGTATTGTGCCAACCACAACTGGACACAGTATTGCAGGTGCAGTCTGACCAGCGCAGCATAGTCCAGAACTATCACTTCTTGCGATCTAGCTCTTTTGGTAGCTGTAGCATGCTGCTGGCTCATACTTAATCTGTGGTCTACCAGGGCATCCAAATCCTTCTCACAAGCACTAGTACTGAGCTAGGTGCCTCCTTTCTTGTACTTGTGCATCTGATTTTTCTTACCTATGTGCAGAATCTTGCAGAATCCTTCTTGCCATTGAACAGCATTTTGTTGGATATGGCCCAACATTCAAGTCTATCAAGATGCTTTTGAACCTGTAGCCTGTCTTCTGAGGTGTTAGCAATCCCCCCAGTTTTATGTCATCTGCAAATTTGATAAGCATCCCTTCTCTATCTCCTCATCTAAGTCATTTATAAAAATATTAACAAATATTTGTCCATGTGTGTATGTGTCTTCAGAATAATCTTTTCTATACTCTGACACTGTATTTTCCTTTCTCTTCCTCTAAATAAATCTCTAAATACATCTTGTCCTCTAATTACATTTACTTTGATTTACATTTTAATATTTTTTAAGATATTTGTTCCATGCAATTTATAATCCTTTCTGAATTCTCAGATGTCAAGAAAAAAATTATGTAGATTAGGGTTGTGTAATATTTGAAGAGGTGATTCAATTCAAAAGAAAATTGACTTAAATCACCTCTTTGAATTGAACCTGTGAGGCAATTTGAGAAATTGAATTAAGTACCTTGGAACTGCTTTGGAATGATTGTTTCTTTCTAATTTGGCTGAGTCTCCAGCATCGTTGCAGCTTTCTTTTCCTATATGGACAAAAGCTGAAAGAGTAGTTAATGGTGTCATGAGTTCCCTGATATTGACATGACTAGTAGGTCAATAAATGTTATTGTTTCTGTGAAAAATAATTATAAATAGTTGGCTGCGATAATAAAGAATTCTGTGAATTGGCTGTGGTCCAGAAAGAGGTAGCAACCTGATAGGCTGGAGTCAGATGCAAGCTGAGGGAGCGGAGAGTTGGCCATTGCTAACTGAGTTCTGAAGGGATGTTTCTCAGGCATTGTAGAGGTTGTGACTTTTTGTTTATTTATCTGTTTTCCTCTGAGGAGTAAAAGACTATTTTAATTCTTATAAAAAAAGGGATTGAGGGAAAGGCTTGGTGGATTCAGGAAATGAAGTCTAAATAAGGAAAAAATGTAATTTGGGGGGAAAAGTAATTTAAGACAATATATTTGTTTATGAAAGCTAGATATGAAGATTCTGCTGTTTAAAGCCCACTTATCTGTTTATTCTCTTTAGTAAGAAAAGTGAAATTAACAAGTCAAGTTAAAAAATAATTTAAGAAGGAAAAATAATTAAGCATTAAGAAAAAGAAGCTAAGTGATGACTGTGCTAAGGAAACACTACAACTTCTGTACACTCTATCTATCCAAATGTTTGCTATTTAAGATCTTGGTTTTGAAAAATCTGGAAGTTCTATCACACAAAGATTTGCATTTGACATCCTTCCATATTATTCCCAGAAGAGACTAACCTTGCCAATGAGCCATGCTAAGAAGTCTGCCAGCCTAAAGAAAAAACAAGTAGTATGAGGGTAGTGGACTTTGAGCCATTAATAAGAGCTTACTTTTTAAAGAATTTTTTAAAGTTTTTACATTTAAGTTGTAGCAGAACATTTTCTACCACAACTTAAATGTAAAAATTTCAACACAACTACTATACAGAAAAGAAGGATAACTGGAGGCTGCTGGATGGTCCTTTCCTCATTTCTTCTATCTGTCTTCAAAGAGGTGCAGGGCAAGAAATATTTTTCTTTCAGTGTTTAATTCCAAGTGAAATCTCTATGAATCCAGATAGTCTCAACAGCTGATTGTACAGTAGGAGTTTATCCATAGTTCCTCCGGTATCCTCCTTCCAGACCTCACCAATCACACAGCACTTGTGTCTACCACCACCACCACCGCCAACATTCTGTCTGTTTGTCATCAGGGACTAAGCACTATCTGTGCATGCACTGTTACATAGCAATGTCCATGATTAATTTTTCTTTCGCATAGAAAAAATCTCTGCCATTATGCAATTCCAATTGCATTTCCTCACACCACTTTTTTTTTAAACTAGAAGATCTGTTCATTAATCTCTTAGTGTCATCTACAGTCGTGCCTTTTCAATTCCATAAATTCACTTAACAAAAGCAAACCAAAAAAAACACACACAAGGGTTTTTTGTTTGTTTGTTTGTTTGTTTTTGCTTATCTGAGAATCAGTGGATTTGGTAGTTCTTGATATGACTAATATTTTGCTGGATTCTAATAGGGTCCTTCCAAGGTCAAGAAATCAGGACTATAATGTAAATTTATATTCCATCCTTCTTACATGAAACTTCAAATAGCATGGATAGATTTTTCTAAGTATATAGCTTTTTGTATCTTCATTTGTGTAGACTTGATGTTATCAGCAGAAACATGGTCTGAATGTTTCAACAATTGAAATCTGTCTGTTGCATTTTCAGAAGAATCTTGATTAAAGTAATTTTTATTAAAGAAGAATGTTCAGGAATTTGCTTTGTTTTTCCTTAGGTGATTAAGGCTGTTGAAGAAGGTTATCGTTTGCCAAGTCCCATGGACTGCCCAGCTGCTCTCTATCAGCTAATGTTAGATTGCTGGCAGAAGGACCGAAATAGCAGACCCAAATTTGATGAAATAGTCTGCATGTTGGAGAAGCTCATTCGGAATCCCAGCAGTCTGAAAACATTGGTGAATGCATCAAGCAGGTATAGAATCATAAATTCATGCTATGCTATCCTTCTATCATTGATGCTAGACTTCTCTAGTTTGATGAAATATCTGAGTTTTTGAATATTGTTAAAATACTAGATACAAACTGTTTTTCTAATTTGGAAAGAGATGGTACACAAGTTGTTGCCCTTAGTTATTTCACGTTTACATGTGTTGTTCTGAAACAGAAGTGGGGAACCTAGAAATCATGAGCTACAGTACATGCAGGCTCCTAGAACCATAGCATCCCAAACCTCATGGCAGGAATATGGCAAATTTCAACAGCTTTTTTGAAAAATGAAATCAAGGTTAAAGTAAATGGATAAAGATTTTATGACCTTTAATATGTATATTTTGCTTTTTGAAAACAAATTTCTTTAAAAGAATCTATTCTTTTTACTTTCACAAAATGTGGCATATTTACAAAAGTGGCCCCATTTCAAAGAACTAATAATTCTTTAGTAGTGAGGAACAGAGTTTATAGCAAGTTTGAGAATTCACACTCTTAGTTATAATTATGTTACAGTAAAAATAGGAATAAGTTAAAAGAGGAAGGTAAAGGATGTTTAAAGAAACTTAAATATGTTTTATTGGTTGAATTGACAACAATGATTTGTTAATGGGCATCTAATCTAAATCCTAATATCCTAATTTAGTATGAAGATTCTAGTAAGGATAGAAAACCTAAAGCCATGAGATGATTTTAAATCACAGGTTCCAGCAACACAAGCCAACATGTCCAATAATACAGATTATGCAAATTGTAGTTCATAAAAATCAAGAGGGCTATAAGTTCACTGTCCTTGGATTATAGATTGTTGCAGTTAAAAATGGGGATGTATTTAACAACTTTAACAAATAAACCATAGGGGTTATTGAAAACCCAATCCCTATGGTTTATTTGAAAATGAAACAATGACTTGAGTTTTTTAACGTTATGGTAACTACAACAAACATTTATTGTAATTATTTTTGTATCTGATTGCAAAAATAATGTTGTCAGCAAATCTGTCACACCTTTCTTTTAAGCTTTTTTTAAACAAAGACTCAAAGGATTTTTTTTAATGTGCAGGGTATACATATTCCTCTGTGCCCTTAGTCTTCTTTATTCCCATTCTTTCCTCTCTTTCTCCTTCTCCTTCTCTTTCTCCTATTCCCTTCCTTTCTGTATTTTCCTACTCAAAACATTCCAAAGTAGCCCTGTAACCTGTATATTCCAGTAATTGTTTTCCAATTAATTACATCACCTGGATATTGCAATTTAGTGTAATTCCTTTAGAAAATTGATGGCTATGGCTAGCAATCCAAAATGATGGTATTAGTCGAAGAAATCTGTTTGGAAACTCATAACAATTTATGTCAATATCAGCACTTACTAAACACATCAAATGGAATGCAATGTATATTGAAAATGTGCTATATTCATCTTGATGGATGATGAATTATTTTATTTTGTTTATTACATTTATAAGTTCTCTGAATTTTAAGAACTCTAGGAGATAAATAGGAGCAATGGCTATAGACCCAATGTAATAGCTTGTTCTGCTGCAGCTTTGAAAAGAAAGATATATAAAATATAAAAGCCAGAAATATAGGAACTGTCTAGCTCTCTGCCTATTTAGTAGGTCATCACTGTCATTAGTTAGTCTTTGCAATGTTTTTGATAGGTGAAATAGGGAAGATTGGGACTAAATGGCATCACTCACTGTTAATGTTCTCAGTTTGTCTGTATATCAGCCAGGTACGAAAATTAGCTGCCAATGTTACAGTATCATCACATTATAATTTTAATGGGTGAATTCACTTGAGAAAAAACACCAACCCCAAAAAATCAAAGATGTTTAACCATGAAAAGGTCACAGCCCTTGATGTTTGTCATTGTTTGATGCCCCCTGTTTTTATTCTGTGGGTTTTGTTAGCAGAGTATTTTAGTCTGGGCTGCCTGTTGATTTCATGTTTCTCATTATTATTATTGTTGTTGTTGTTGTTAGTTTTGTATGCCACCCAGAGTCCACTGGAGTTGGGCGGCCAATCAATTTAAATAAATAAATAAAAATAAAAGGGTAGGATTAAAGACCAGGGAGGAAAAAATGAAGCCTCCTGAAATCAACCAGTAGAATATTTATATACCTGCCTGTAAAGTAAACCTTTGATATCATTAGGTACAGAAGCTAATCTTGGGCATTTTCAGGGTTACTGGACAATTCTACTTGCTGGTCTTTCTCCATGTAAAACAATCTTACATCCAACTTTTTTTTAAGATTGTCTTAATGTATACCTTGGTTTCTCTTTTAGAGTTTCAAATTTATTAGGGGAACACAGCCCACTTGGAAATGGTGTCTACAGATCTGTAGGTGAATGGCTGGAAGCCATCAAAATGGGACGGTACACAGAGATTTTCATGGAAAATGGATACAGTTCCATGGATGCTGTGGCTCAGGTGACACTGGAGTGAGTAGAATTCCTGATCATTTCCACTGATATAAGGGAGAGCACTTTTGGTTGGAAGCCAGTTAGGAGTAAAGGTAGAAGACAATTGGAAGCATTTAAGATTTTTTTTAACATTGCAATTTGATTCTGGGGAAAACTCATTTATATCCTATATAAATGATAGCATATCAGAGATAGAATTTATTTATGGGTATCACAGTTGTTGAAAAGATATCATTAGCAACTTTGCACTAATAAATGATCATGTGACATTGACCATTTCAGCAGCATGCCAATTTTGGCATAAGGTGTGTCCTGCTTTTCATATAACAAAGGTTCTTTCATCCTAACTGTACATGGTGTAACTGTAATTTTTCAAGGAAAAAAAAGTCTTGACTGTATAAGGATCTCAGAAAACACGCACACACACACACGCACAGAGGAATAATCCCACCTCACAAATAATTTTGGAGCAGATCTAATAACTTATTTTCTCTAGGTTTGCTACTCTGCAGTGGGTTATAGTGATTGTTTTCACTCAGGTTCTCATATTTCCAATCTTAAATTCTTTCCAGATTGTTTTTTTCTTTAAACATTCTGAAAAAAAAATTGTGTGTGTGTGTTCATATTCAAAGATATTTCTCCAATTTTATTGCATTTTTTGTGACACACATTTTTTTTTTAGTTTCAAGTTACATTATGACATTTGAGGAAATTTCAGCATATATCAGTTCCAGTCTATGTCTTGATTTAGGGAATTCAAACCAGATAAATTCAAATTAAAATTTGAGCAGAATGAATATTTCCCCTGTCCTTGTACAATGATATGAGACAAGTTTGTGTTATGAAGATGGGAATATATTTCTCCTTTACAATGATACAAAAATAAAGGAAGGCCACTGCAAGGGGAGAAGCTTTCACTTAGCTCTACCTAACTTGAGTGACTTGACACATTCTAGACTTAAAAAGAAAAGCCTCTTTTTCTCTTGAGATCTCTATGAAAACAGAGAAAGGGTCCAATAAGAAAACCTGTGCCATGAACATCCCTGACAGAAGAGTAGCAAAAACCTGAAGAACATTCCTGACCTATATTTAAGAATGACAGAAGCAGGAGGATCTCACTTTTGCCCTCCTCCAAACTGACAAGACCTTGATTGAAATGCAGGCAGGTCAGAGGTCTTGACTGAAACATGGCAAGAAATATAATCCCTTCTCTTAAAGACAACTTTGCCAGAATTTCAGACAGTGAAGTGTGGGAAAAGGAACTCAGTATTTATTTATTTATAGAAAAAATAAATTGTGAAATTGACAGTGGTCCTTTCCCCCACCTCCCTATAAACAGACTTACTGCAGTTCCTCTAGAAAAATGGCAACAGGACTTAATAAATGCCTTCATTTCCTCTGGCTTCTCTGGACTCCAAACTGTAAAAAAATGCTTGTCAATTTCATCTATGTTGTGTTGGCTTTTTAAAAAAGAAATGATTTGCACTGTACTGTTGGTCTGCACACATCCCTCTTAAGCACAAAATCCTCTCTTCTCAATGCTTGAGGATGCAAATAAATCCTTTTGGCTGTACTGGAGATCTTCAACAAACTGCTGTCCAGTTAAAAAGTATATGATTTCCTTTATTTGTTTGTTTATTATTGGTTTGTTTACTTTAACATCAGAGGACTTCTTCACAACAGCAGAATGAAAATTAGGACAGAAACAATCTCCCTTCCTGTGTTGTAAATTGTGGAATGTGATGAATGTGCCATAACTCCCTGGCTGTGCTTGAATACTTCACCTTCCCTGTACCTGTGTCAGCTGTTTCAATATTTTTCATTTGTTTCTAGAGTGTTTTATTGGATAATCTCAGATCCTGTTATGGTTTCATATCTAATGACAGTTGTCAGTTCTCACAATGAACATATAGTACAGCTAGGGTTTACAAATGCTTCCACCTCTTTAGGATCAAATATAGCAGAACTTCCTTTTAGAAAATGTCTTAACTATGAAAAGGAAGTAAGAAACATATGACATATTATTATATTCCACACTAGTGTTATAAATTTGGATTTCCCTGATATTCTCTTGTCTGTTGCATATGTGTCAGCCCCCATAAGAATTTAAGTCAGATATGTCTTGTATTTTTACAAAAAAAATTCTATTTGAATCCCAGGAAATAACAAGAACTTCAAACTGCCTATTTACATTTCTTTTAAATAATATGAACATTAATTTGTGCCTCGGCATTTCTTTAGCATTTATTATAATTTTGATACTCGATGTTATGTTTCCCCTTGGATGATATAAAAAAGGTTATTTTTTTAAAACCATGCCCCAGAGATGGTTTCAATTTTTTTCACTTGTCTTCTTTGTACAAACTAACACAAGTACACAATATTATCAAAATATAATGGGATTTCGGCTTTTTTTTTTTTTTACATAGATTTACAAGTACAAGTGCTTAAACCCATTTGGAATATTCTGTCCCTTGATTGAATTAAACTTGTGAAGCACTATTCTCTGCTGTTTTAGTGAAGTTCTCATCCTCAGGTTTTAAATGGTTTACTTAAAATTTAGTCCAGTTGGTTTCATGCTCCATGCAATATGTATAGAATATGATTATAAAGGAGCTCATACCAGTGGAATTTTCTATGAGGTCAGAGTCAGAACCATGGAGAAAAGGTAACAATATTCTGTTAAAGTTTACTCTATACCATAAGGATGTAGATTATGTCTTATAGAGACTGAAGGTTTCTTCCATATTCTACTTTCCTCCAACCCGGTGCCTTTGAAATTGTGTCTACAAATCCGAGAATTCTGATACCTGTAGTTTTCTGTGTGCAGGCCTCAGGATCTTTAGGAGTTTTTGATGTATTCAACCAAACTACAATTCCTAGAATTCTTGGTGAAAGTCAAGAATATTACATTTGTGTAGTATAAATGTACTCTAAGAGAAATTAGATTGTTGATGTGGTTCGAGCAGAAAATTAAGATAAGATCTGGGCTGAACTGGGCTGAATAGTTATAAAATGAAGATTCCAGATTTCTCTTTCTCCATATTTGTGTCACCAGTTTCTGTAGTCTCACCATGAATATCACAGAATTTACCAAAAAACCCTTTTTTCTTTCATTTTCTACTCTAGTCATATAATAAAACAAATATTGTATGGAAACTATTCATAGATGAAATATTAAGACTGCATCATTCTGCTGATCCATCTGAAACTATTCTGTCCATAAAGCCATAAGAATGAAAGGGATATGTTATGCTACCTTACATTAAAGTCCTGGCTCTGACACACCCCTAAATGAGAAAGATTGTTCAGATTATCCTTCTTCAGACTGCCAATAAAGGTTCACATTTTTAATGCTCCTGCCCTAAGTTCCCTGAAAATGGAATGTAAGCACTTCACAGAAAAGGGATGCTTGGCATCTTCTTGTAGTCTTATAGTCACCAAGTTACCCTCTTCCATATGAAATGTTATAGACTCTTCTGTCACATCAGCCTGCTGCATATATAAACCAGGCCCTAGTTTGGGTTAGACTTCCTGGAAGCCAAAGTCAAAGATGACTAAGGACAGAGTTGTGTTCTCACACTATTCTTGTTCAGCATAGTGGAAGTTGTGCAAAACATGTGTATATCTCTCTCAAGTTTCTGACAATTGATTCCTGTATTGAGTAAGGGATTGGACTCGGTGGTTGAAATGGCCCCTTCCAACTCTATTCTTCTATGAATTCTGGAAAGATTTGAAAGCCATGCCTTCCTCTTTTCCTCTATTTTGGAGGCTTATTCACCGTAGAAGAATTTTCACCTAGACAGATTTAGTAGCAGTTGAATATATCTGGCATCCTACATTAAGCCTCCTATCAGTCTACCTTAAAACAAACCACCCTAACTTTGCTAGGAAATTTATTATCACCATCAGTATCTTTAATTTATTCCCTCCATTACTCCTATCATAAATAATGTCACTTTTAAAATTCATCAGCTATAATTTTTGTAGCTCAGTTTTACTGTGGGCAAAATCCATGAAGCCCATTTTAGACATTGAAGTATAAGGAAAAATAGATAAATCAAAGCTCACTTATGTGCTTTCTTAATCACATGAGAATGTATTTGAAGCCTGACTGGATTATCTGATGTAGAAAAAACATTCAACTAGTTGATTAATGAAATTCCTAGATTATTATATTTGTATACTTCTTAGTCCATACCTGTATGTTGTAAAATACAGTTTCATGTATAAACGCTGAAAAAAACAAAGCAAAATTATTATCAGTTAGTTAATAAGTTGATCTTTATTGCAAACTCAAATGACAGCAGAAAAACAAAAGCAAAAAAACCCCCATTGTAACAGAACAAAATATTACAATAAAAACTCAAACTTATTAATAAATGAGTAATTGTTTCATTTGATACAATTGCACCATCTTCTGGATTAGTCAGTCTCTATGTAGAAAAAAGTGGGGTTACACAGCCCTCCCTGTCATTGAATCATAGAGTTGGAAAGGGATATTTAGGCCATCAACCCCTTGCTCACAATGAAAATCTAATTTAAAGCAAACCAGACAAATGGCTGTCTAACCTCTATTTGAAATCATCATGTTTAACTAAAGCTCTTGCTGAATTTCTCAAATGCTTCCTAGAACAAAAGAGACCATGCCAATTCACTCTGAATGTTGTTAAGAATAAATTTTAGCAGCAGCTTCAAGAAAAAGCATGGGCCATTCAAAGGCTTCACATTATTTATACCAGCTGACATCTTGAGAACATGGTTGGATGGAAAAATGAGAAGAGCACTTCATCTATATATGCATCTTTATTCTAAACCCAAAATAATTTTCAATTATCCAGAAAATGATAGGTTGTGGTTAACTATTTAGAAGAAGAAAGAAACCTGGGAAATGTTTGGGTTTGAATGTGTTGTAACATGTTTACCAGGGTTGAGTATTCATACTGTTCCAGAGCTGGGACTTGGGGAGATCAGATGAAATCAAAACTCAGCACTTCAAAATAGATTTCACCATTCAAGATGGTTTAAAATTCATTATCTGATTTTGCTGGTTTCCCAGAACTTTATCTTGAAATTTGAGCCCAGGCAAGAAACAGGTTGAAAATTACATAGAAAAAGAAAAATAGTCTGGTTCTTACAAATGACCCTAGCCTCTGTGAAGGCAAACCTTTGTGTTTGCCATGAACTAAACAGGTGAGCAAGGAAGAAGTTGCCTGTACCAAGATTTTTAAGACTCTATGGCAGTTTGAGTGGGAAACTCTAAGTGTGAGTGGCAAACTTAAGATTCCTTCAAAGGACCATGTTGCCTCATAAAGAATACTGAGTTGTTTGAAGTTATTTTAAATTCTCCAGTCACAACCTGAGTCTCCTCAAACAATCTGAAAATCTTGGTGGCTTTCTTTCAGTTGTCTGTTCCGAACCCTGCCAGCCAGCAAGGCCTTGTTCAAATGTACGTTCTCAAAAGTGCTGCCTTTTGAACGTAACAAATTGAAAAAAAGAAATGGGTCCCATAGCAATTGCCCCAAGTCCTGTGCTCTGTTCCAGATGCTTCTTCCATGGCCTGACAACCAGTGTGTTCCAATATTATTGTTGCCATGTAGTTCTAATTCTAGCAAAAGAGATGGATCCCGTTTTCTACCTGTGCTTCCATCTGGATTATCAGACTGTTCCCACAGGAAAAAGAACAACTATTTTCTAACCTTATGGACAATCTCTGGTGACTTTGAGTGCCAGAACAACCCTCAAGAATAGCTAGCTAATGAGACTGGCCTCTTAAGTTGCATACTTGGCTGGACTTTAATGGCTAACAACAAAAGGTGGACTTCATCACATCTCCCTTTTGAAAGATACATACTCACTGAATCTCAGGACACCTTGTTGCTTGTCATCCAGTGGACGGCTCTGAAAATTTGTAACAATATGTGTGTGTGTGTGTTGTGTTACATTGTAATCGTTCTATTTTTCCTTTAAAATAAATGTTTGTTTATAATAAAAAAGTCCCTTTATGGAAAAAATATCAAGAATTCACCGGCTCTTGCTTTTTATTCCTTACTCTTCATCTGGTGACATGGTATATATTTCAAAATCAATTATGATGCCATGCTGCTTTTGGAAAGGGGATAAACAACAAGAGCAGATGAACATTTTAGCCCCCCCCCAAACAATTGAAGACTTAATTAACTAAACTATCCCACCCACTCTATGAGCATCCCTGAAAATATCAAAATGCTATCATTTCAGGTACAGGATCTTAATGCTTTCCTAATCTGCATGAAGTGCAGATAACAAGTTGTGAAAATAAAGCCTTTTTAAAAAATATGTAGAGTTTTGCAGTCATGCTGACTACCTTTAAAAGTATATTAATTATCAAAAGCAACATGAGTTTGCTTTACCATTTTTTGTTCCAGGACTTGGTCATATTGACAACAGTATGACCAACAGTACAATAAACCTTCTTGGGGAAAGATGCAAAAGCTGCAATTTCTGAGTCTTACTCAAGCAGTACATGATTCTGTAATTGTAACTCAAACAGAATATGCTTCTGTAATCACAATTAGCAGCTCTGGTAAATGGGGTAGGGTGTCCTTGTTTTTTCATCAAGACTTGAACCAACAGGTGGATACCTTTAAAGAATCTTTATAGAGTTTAGCCTTAGTAAGGAAGAAAAATGGAACAACACCATTGTCACAGAAAACATATATTAATGACTATTCCATTGCTTAATTGGGGTTGTATTACTTTTCACATGACTCAAGCATATATAGTTTTAATACTATATTTAATATTAAGTGTGTTCAAAACTTATTTCTACCATAAATTAAGTATTCCTTAGACAATCTATAATACTCTGATATTACCCAACTCTACACTACTATGTCAATACATGATAACATTCAGGTATGGGGGGAGAAGGCTGGATTAAGGACACATATATTCACAACCAGTTTTCTGCTCCAAATTTCTCCCTTTAATTCTGCTCTTATATTCAATCTCTCTTTAGCAAGTCTTGTGGTTTGTGGGATAGCTGCTTAGAAGATACTACTGGGTGATAGGAAGTCTTTAGCTGGCCCTGAGGACACTGCCAAAGGTGGCTCTTACAAAGAAGCAATATATGTGGATGTATGTGTGTGACAGCGTATATACATACACCTACAGAAATATACACAAAAACACATGTATTTAAAAAATGTTATCCCACTCTTCAGCCAGAGTAAAGATTGCAAGCAAGTAGATAGATAGATTTGTTTCTTCATTCTGTAGAAGAAGGCAAGTGTTGCTTTCATATACAGTACTGTGCAAAAGTTTTAGGCAGGTGTGAAAAATGCTGTAAAG